CCAGGAAAGGCGCAAAGCTACACAGAGAAACCCTGTCTTGAAAAAAAAAAAAAAAAATTTGCCCATATATTATTGAACTAATTAGTTTTCTATTTGTAAGTCCCCCGAGTCACACGAGTGGCCAGGCCCCTTCCCTGAGGACCTCCAACTACCACGTTCCACCCACAGAATACTCTAACTGCCCTAACTGCTGGACCCAGCCCCCACCCTACAAAGTAAAAAGTCCAAGCTCTGGACTTGAAATCCCACCAATCCCCACCCTGGAAAGCTCCACCCTGAAAAGTGCCACCCCCTCAACAAGAAACTCTATATAAACCCTGCTTTTTGCTCAGTTCTCTGCTGTTTCTTGTTCAAGCAGAGGCAGCCATCCTCCTGTTTTTTCCCCCCTCCCAATAAGTCTTTTGTGTGAGGTTTGTTGTGTGGTGGGACTTTGTGGTATTTCTTGGCTACCAACTGCCAGGAAACCTTTCCATCCAAGCTGCAACACTTACACTATTACTATGACAAACTGCTTGAGACAGTCAGCTTAGCAAAGGGAAGAGGTTTACTCAGTCCATCGGTCCACAGGTTGTGTTACTTTGCACATGTATGTGTATGGAGCAGATGGCTTTCTACCTTGTGGTGACTTGGGGAGAGAGTAGAAGGGGAAGAAGACATGGGAGACAGCTTAGCAGAGCAGCTGCTCAACAGTCCTCTCTCCAAGTACCAGGCTGTGGGAATTCACAGACGTGCTATCAGACCATGTTTACGGCTGGACATCCCGGTATTCTAAAATAAGAGGAAAGAGTCTGCAGATGAAAGGGACCGGGTACCTCCCTTGTACCCACATATGGAAACTGGGATTTTCTAGTTTCCCACTGTTCATGAGTTGCCTAAGCATGAAACAAGTTGTGCTCCATTTGCAATGTGTGATCTTTGGGGATGAAATGAGTTCTAAAGCTGAAAAAAATACCTAGCCAGGATCTCTGTGTTCGGTTTTTATTGTTGATTTGTGGTTTCAGCGACTCTGCTACTTTTAGGCCAGTAAGAAGGCAGAAACAGGGTGATGAGAGGCTGGGAACAGACACACTCTTTCTCCTACCGGGCCCCACCTAATGGCTCACTTGGCTATGAACTTCTGAATAATGGATTAATCCACGGATGAACTCAGTGCCTTCATGATCCATTTACCTCTCAAGTCCACCAGCTGGCAGCCTAGCACACACAGGCCTTTGGGGACCTTAACAATCTCCTAAGGTGTCTCATTCATTAAATCAGGAAATATGTGTTTCTATGATAAAATGAATGATATCTTGCTGTCTCAGAACTTGGTATCACGAGGAGCAGTATGGTAAGGTCTTTTCCCTTGAAGGAAATGTAAGAGTAATTATGAATAGATTTTATACATGTATTTGAATATAAAATGCCATCCACAAACTCCCCTACTTAGTCCTGAGTGGGTGGAGCTGTCTGGAAGGTTGTGAGACTCAGAGGTGGGGGCTGACTGGAGGAAGGGGTCCCTGGGGGTGTCCCTGAGCTTCCACAGCCTGCCTGCTTCCTAGTCACTATTTCCCAGGCTGCAGCGGCAGTGTGAAGAGCCACTTCTCCAGTCGCCATGCCTCTCCCGGCACGATGGACTTCATCCTCACAAACTACAAGCCAAAACAAGCCCTTTCTACTTAGGTTGCGTCCTGTCAGGCCTTTGTCACAGCTGTGAGAAAGGGAACCAAAAAAGAAACTAAAAACCTGGAAAAACACAAGGAAGTTCAAACATTGTCAAAATCAAAGTTATCAATTCTAGATGAAAATTCTAGACTTCACCAACATAAGGATTGCTTCTGTACTTCATTTAAAAACTGACAACACAACAGACCCCGACAATGTCACTTACTGAAGGTTTCCTGTTCTCAGCTGCCAGGGTAATGCAGATACATGTGAGAATTCTCAATTCCTTCCTTACAAATACACACACAGGCTAGAAGTTGCCTCAAGGTAACTGCAGTGGAACCATCCTTGACTATGCGGAGGACTGCTTATACTCCCCAAAGCAGGTCTTTCCTCTGGCCTGGCTACTGGCTATGGGGAGTAGTTGCACACAGTTCTGCAGCCACACTGAAGGCATGTGAAGATCAGTGCCTCCGCTCAGGGAGCAAGCCAGGCTCCGTGTGTGGTGTAATAAGCAATAAGCAATCTGTATTCTTTGATAGACACTGCCATTCACATTTCTCTCCAAGGGCTTACAGTGTCAGTTTGGCAGGACTGCCTCTGGTTAAAGTTTCTCACATAAAGTTGGATAGGGACCAACTTTCACGAGCAAAGAAAAGGTTTGGCTGTGACAGAGAGGATGGCAATTTCTCTCACAGGTGAAGCCTCAGTGGCCCTAACTTTTCTTGTTGCTGACCACACACCTGCCTATAGGAGCCGATGGGTTGTTGTGGCTCATAGTCTTGAGATACAGCCCATCCTGGTGAGAAGGCATGGCATCGGGGACTACCTGCATCCATCTGGTAGCAGAACAGACAAACATGAGTTTGCCTGGCTTCCTACTGATTTATTCAGTGGGACCCATCCACGGGGCAGCAATACCCTGGTGTCCTCAGTTAAGCGCCTCTGAGGAAACACCCTTAGCAGATACTCTCTTGCTTGTATCTCCTACCTGATTCCAAATCTAGTCAACTTGATGCTAAGGATCAACCATCACAGCCCCAAGAAGCTGTTTACAGAGAGTTGAGGTAACAGTTCTGTTACTAAAGCTATAGCCATGTGAATAACTATCTCACAACTTGACCTACTCAGACAGAAGCAGAAAAGTAACTCAAATGGCTAAGTCAAACTCTTTTCTAATGTTTATTTACTTACATACTTGACATTCTTTTTAGGCCTATTTTTAAAGCTCAAGCCAGGGTGAAGCAAGTATGTGAGAGCACAGTGGCGGCAGGCCTCCCTTCTCTCCATCTGCTTAGACCTCAGTGTGTGATGCTCCTTAACCCTCAGTTTCTGCCTGGCGGTGGTGGCACACGCCTGAAGTCCCAGTGCTTGGGAGGCAGAAGCAGGCAGATCTCTGAGCTCAAGGCCCGCCTGGTCTACCGAGTGAGTTTCTGGACAGCTAGGGTCTTGAAAAAACAACAACAACAACAACAACAAAACAAAAAACAACAAAACTCCAGTTTCCCTTCAGGCCAGGTTCCAGCAATACTGGGGGCCACAGACACTGCTGTTCTGTGAACCTGGACAGAAGATCTGGACTGTCACTACCCATGTCATCTATCTTAGTTTGGGTTTCTATTGCTGTGAGGAGACACCACAACCACAGCAACTTTTATAAAGAAAACATTTAATTGGGTAGCTTACAGCTTCAGAGGTTTAGTCCATTATTATCATGGCCAGACATGGCAGTATTCAAGCAGACACGGTGCTGGAGAAGGAGCTGAGAGTTCTACGTCTTGATCCACCGGCAACAGGAAGTGGACTGTGACGCTGGGTGTAGCTTGAGCACAGGAGACCTCAAAGCCCACCCCAGTGACACACTTCCTCCAACAAGGCCACACATACTGCCACTTTCTATGAGCTTATGGGGGCCAAATACATTCAAACTACCACACCCTCTCTGATGGGATCACTTTTAAATACAAGAATACAAATCTCTATAGATTTTCCAGTCATTCATTCAGAAAGCTTAATTATTGAACCTTTATTGAAACGGTGCATACATGCATTCACATACATATACACACAGACTAAACTGTCTACCCTCTAGAGACATACACTAAATTGTCTACCTCCCTTCACAAAGTTGTCTGCACCCAACTCTACGTGGTCTGTCCTTGATAGTCAAGAGTTCTTTACATTTTTGTTGAAGACAGTGATGAGTGTAATGAGAAATAATGCTTCAAAACGTATTTTTTTTTTGTTTTTGTTTTTGTTTTGTTTTTTCGAGAAAGGGTTTCTCTGTGTAGCTTTGCGCCTTTCCTGGAACTCACTTGGTAGTCCAGGCTGGCCTCGAACTCACAGAGATCCGCCTGGCTCTGCCTCCCGAGGGCTGGGATTAAAGGCGTGCGCCACCACCGCCCGGCCAAAACGTATTTTTAATAAGAATGTGTTCACAAGACAAGAACATAAGAAACACATTTTCAATCTTCCAAGTTTCCTATGAACTCAGCTGACCTTATACCAAGGCTCACTTCATTATCTGGCAATTTAGCTAAAAAAAAAATCAGGTAAATGCCGAAAAAATATAATCAGCAAGCATGCGTGAAGACAATGGCATCTTACTATAAACACAAGAGTGAAAATGAGGAAATGGCTCCGAGTAGCTGATGACATGGACGGGTTCACTGAGATGTGTTGTATCACTTCAACTCTATTAAAATTATACACATTTGTATGTTTTTGTTATCAAGACAGGGATTCTCTGCATGGCTCAGCTACAACATGGCTGGAACCTTAGATATTATGCTAAGTGAAATAAGCCAGTTCACAAAGACACACACTGATCCCACTTTTAATGAGCTTCCTAAAGAGTCAAACTCACAGACAGGTAGCAGGACAATGGCTCCTGGCAGCTGGACAGACAAGAATGGAGGAGGTGTCAGTGCTGTGGCAAAGAGGCCATGGAGATATGTTCAAGACTGTGTGGATGTATATGATCCTCTAAGAATGGTTCAGATGATAGAAAACAGGTATATTATATTATATTAATTATATTAATTATATTAATTATATTATATTATATTATATTATATTATATTATATTATATTATATTATATTATATTATATTATATTATACTATACTATACTACACTATACTATACTATGTTGGCCAATGTCCTAAGAAGATTTTTTGAAACACACTAAAAGCTAGACTAATGGGTGTGTATGAATGTTAGAACTACAAAGTGACAACCAATTGTGCAGTTTTACAGTGTGTGTTCACAGGTAGGAAGTGTCAGTAATTTCAGACTTTTCTTCTGGTGAAAACATTGTCTTGACACAGTCTGTGAAAATGTTAGGAAGGCCTTACCTGGGCCGGCGTGTTTGCAGTCACAGGAGGTGGCGAGGCACTGACTTTTGGTTCACTGGGGGATGCTGCTGAGCCCTGAGACTCCTGGCTTGCTGGCTGGTCTGGAGACAAAGCGTCACTGCTATCTTCATCAAATGAGAACTCTCCGTGAGTGTGGGGATAGTCCTCCTTCACCACACCTGCAGAGAGAACCATGGTGAACTTGGGCTCTGGAACCAAGGCTGACTGAGAAAGGGGAGTTTTAGGAGCTGGCTTCAAGCTGGGCTCTTCCCAGAGGGAGCCACACTGCTACAGAAATGGAGGCTCTTCTAGCAGGAGCCTCACTGCTGTCTGCCATGTACTCTTTGGGGTTTGATGTTTGATGTTCTTCTATTCAGATCAAGTCTTTGGGTCCAGCGACCAGCTGTAGGAAGGGAGGGGACAGGAGTGCCTTGTTGTTGCTCCTGTCCCTGTGGTACTGGGGATGGAGCCCAGGGCTATGAACAAGCTGGCCAGGAGGCCAGAGCATCAGCACTCCTCTGCAGCCTGGCCCAGAGGGGAGGGTTCTCAATGACACTGGAGAACACAACAGCAAGAGGACAATCCAGGATGCAGAACACAAGCCTACTCTGTAAAATGAGCAGCAGAGCACACCCGCTCAACAGAATAATATTTAAGAGATGCACGGACCTTATTCTTTAAAACCCCAACCTGGAACCGAAATGTTCACATGGAGGAAGCAGAGGAGGAAGTGAGAGTGTTAGTTTCCATTTCAAGGAACAGCACGCCTACACTCACACCTTACTTTGGGGGCTATCTTCCCAAATGTTTGGAATCAGAGTTGACTCCACGTTTTGGAATTTTGTGACTACAAACTGCCTAAGCTTTAAACTTGCACTAACTCAGAGTATGAAGCCCTGAGGAGTATGAAAGCTGTACTAGATAATTTTTCAGTTAGTATAATTATGTGTACAGTGCTCTGTCTGCGTGTATCCCTGCAGGCCAGAAGAGGGCACCAGATCTCATTACAGATGGTTGTGAGCCAACATGTGGTTGCTGGGAATTGAACTCAGGACCTTTGGAAGAGCAGCCAGTGCTCTTAACCTCTGAGCCATCTCTCCAGCCCTCAGTTAGTATAAAAACAAAAACAAACAAAAAACAAAAACAGAACTGTGCTGAATGAATATCATTATTCATTTGTTTTCCTGCTAAAACTATGCCAGAAACAAAAACCAGTGAGACAAGCAGGCCTCAGTGTGTGAGAGTGTGCTGTGCATGCATAGGCCTGGGTTCAAGTACCAAGAACAGGATGAGCAGCACAAGCCAAGCCTAAGAGCAGCTAAAGCAGACAGATGCTACTTCTCCTCAAGAGTGCAGTGAAACCTCGGGCCTTCCTCTGTGCTTGTGCAGCTTATCATCTTCCTAGACAGACAGAACGAAGAGTCTAGCAATAGTCAACAGTACAAGTCAAACAGTACAATACAATAATTTATCTTAGAAAATGTGATAATGGCATCAGAGCTCACTCTGACATAAAATAGAAATCCACGTTACCTGACAGAGGAGGCCATTTTCTAATCTGTAACAAAACAGTCGCAACAAGATAGATGTTTATCAGCTTCTAGTCAACTAAGAAAACAATGCCCTTGATTGATGCTAGCATTTTGATCAAATTTATTTAGCACTCCTGTGGAAGACAGAAACTGTTACTCTTGCCTATAATGGCTTCCTTGACGCTTGAGTCCACAGGAAGGATGTTCTTCTCCACCAGCTCCATGGGCCCAGGCCTCTGAGCAATCTTCTCGTTCAGGTCATCTGCCAGCCGAGCTCGCTTCAGCTTCATCTGCGTGGCCTGCAGCGACGGCTCTGCAAACGTTTCTGGAAGACCAAGTGCAGCTTTAACCATGGCACCTATCAGGCCAAGGAACTGAATAGGGTTAAACTCTGGAAGGAGAGAGTGACTGCTGAGAGTGCTTGGTAGATTGTTTCTCTCAGAGCAGGGCAGCTACTTATCTATGCAACATGGAGGCCCCAGACTTGAACAATCATGGGCTGAAGCTGGAAACGGGGCTGCCGCCATCTGCCTGCAGTAGGAGGTCAGGTCTGTTTAGAACACGTTTACTAGGTACCAGAGGACACAGCATGAGGACACATGTGGCCCAGAGCTCTACAAGTGGATGGTTCTCATTTGGCTTCACTGGAAAGGCAGTTCCTAGAAAGGGAGGCACTAAATCCTAGGACCGAAGTTTCTCTTACTTTCTTCAGTAGGAAGAACTACGATTAATACTCTTGGATTGACTGCATATCAGGGTCAGTAATCATAATTAAGAATTTGAGCTCATTTTGGAATAAAAAAACCCACATTTTACACAGAGATTATGGTGCATAGAACCATCAGCTCATACACTTAAAATAAGTTATACAACAGATACAAGCCAGTGTAGCTCTCCCAATGCCTCTGCTTCATCATGTCTGTTGTTCCTTGGGGTAAGTCATTAACATCTCCTCCCATTGTTTTGAGCTATGTTTTTGCTGGTTTAAAAATAAGTGGTACACTATTACCCGAGATTACGAGCTGATTCTGAGCTCCAGAGATGAAGCACACAGAACTGTACAGGATACTATGTGTAGGGAGAACAGGATCAACCAGCCAATCACATGGATTTTTTTCAATGCTTCTATGAAGCTCAAGGTGGGAAAGCCTTTGGTCTCTCTCCCTTCTCCACCTAAGCAATACATCTGCAAGGAAAACCTTCCCACAGTAGTAAGCAGAGCCTGGTAGGTTGGTGTGCTTCTGTCTGTCTCACTTCCTCCTTAACTCCATGGAGCTGAGGCTCAATTTATGCTGTTGAATTTCAGAAAATAATTTAGAATCTAACCTGCCAAAAACCCAATTCAATTAAATTAGGTTAATGTAAAAATATATGATAAGGTAATTAAAAACTAAAAGATGATATATTCTTATTCTCAGATCTCAACTTGAGAATGCATGTTTCAATATATACTCTTATATTAAAAATATGCATATGAATGTTTTGCTTGCATGTGTGTCTATATACCATGTGTGTGCTTGGTGTCCATGGAGGCTAGAAGAGGGCATCAGATCCCTTAGAGCTGGAGGTACAGGAGGTTGTGAGCTGCTTGACACGGGCATTCCAAGCAAACAGTATCCTCCACAAGAGCAACAACTGATTGCGAGCCGGCTCACCATCTCCTTGGCCTTGCTTCCTTTTTTTTCTTTTTCATAAAAGAAGATTTGGGTAGATGTATTTCTTTTTATTTTAAGTCTACTAATGACATCTAGAGTCAGAAGGCAAATACAGACAGCATTGTATACACTCACATATTCATGCACATGTATTGTTCTTTGCTGTGTTAGTGTTATTTAGCTGAAGTCAATGACCCCCAAGATCTGCAGTGCTCTATGCTAACACTGGCTCTCTGAGAAGTTTTTCTGTTCAAGGGGCTGTCTGAGAACACAACCCACGGTGGGGAAAGGCACACATCTCCCACCTCCTGCTTGGGACAAGAAGGACACATACAGGAGAACACTCTTCAGTCTGTGGAGGCCAGTGTGGCACTTGCCATTTCTTCAGAGCACATTCTAACACAGTTATCAACCTGTGTCCTTTCTCAGGCAGAGCTGCCTGGTTGTTCCTGTCTGTCTCTGCCCCTGAAGCACATGATGCTCATTATTGGGCCCCTGGTGCCTAGCATTAGGCCAGTGGACGCACAGCCTCCTGAAGAAGTGCACTCTGGCTGTGTCTGAGCTACCAGGCTGCTATCCTGATTCTGTCACTAGACTTGGAGAGAACAGGCTCTTCCTACCCCACAACTGTCTCTAAATGTCTGTGATGTTTCCAGATTCTTCTTAAAGCTTAACACACTCAAGACTGTTAAAAAACCCAAGCTCCTACTCTTGCTCAGTAAGTTATAGAAGCAGAATGAGGCAAAAGTAGAACTCTGGAAATTTCTGATGGAGAAGCTGGCTTTTAAGAAGACTTTCTTAGAGAGAAGGACATCCATGTGAGCCATGTATTCTGCAGGAATGGAATGATACTGCTTTGCCTCCAAGGGCTAAGACTACATCACTCAGAAGCGATTAGTAATGGTCATGTCAAGACTGTAAGTATCGACAAAGAGGAGCAGCAACCTGTGTGAGCATCATTTCAGATAAATATCAATGAGATCCAAGCTGTCAAAAATCTAGAGCTAGATGTGTGACTACTGTGTGCACTGACTTTAATGACATATCTCTCTCATGACAGAGGAGTCCTACGGACCACAAACGTCCTTCCAGGACAGTACACGTGAAACTGAGGAACCCGCTGGTAGAAGAAGCAGCCATTAATTGATTGTCTAGAGGTCAAATGTTCCCTAGGGGTCAAGTTTTGAGTCTTTATGGTGCTATCCAATTTGGAGGATGTCAGCCTGCAGAGTAAAACGTTATTAAAATGGGAATAAACAGAAATGGTAGACACCTCACTTTTCTCCTTAAAGAAATGTAGCCAAGCATGAAGAAATAAACCTCTTACCTTCTAAAATATGCATTCTGACCAGCTCGGAGCGGTCTGGGCGACTCCGGATCTTGTGCTTCAGAAAGTTTTCGGTCTTTAAAAAAAAAAAAAAAAAAAAAAAAAAGTTGTTCATGATTTATTGTAGTTTTAGATTTTCTTCAAAAATAAATTATACACCCTTTTTGTTGTGTCTTTGAGAGAGTAACTAGAAATTAGTGCTTAGGGGAACTATCATCTAGTACAAGACTGCCGTGTAGCCTTCAGTATCGCCCAGGGGTCTGACACATATTAGTTTAAATAACTACTTTATAGAGTTTTATAGTGAAACTGAGAAAAGCTCACATTTTTAAGATGAGCTTTGAATAAACATAAGATTTAACCCTTTTATATAAAACCAATACTTTATAAAAGTAGAAATTTATTTAGATATTCAAGTTTTTAAAAATAATAATAATATTTTATTTGAGTTCATAGTCTTAGCACATTCTCTAAAACTGTACTCAACACTCAAGCAATAGGTCTAGGTTATTATTGCATTCTGGGGACAGTGTGAAGGAATTTTTATAATATTCTTATTTTCATACTGCATAACAGAACCCCCTTCCCTCAGGAAAAACAGAAAGACATAATGGCACTGAGCACCCACGTTGATGTGTGGCCACCAAAGAATCACTTTCAAGAACACAGCTGAGTGTAGCACGTTCTTTATTTAGCTGTGCTCTCAATCCTTAGGCAAATCAACAGTGACACAGACCCACAGGGAAACTGGTCGAGCACCTTGAGAAGCACATGACTTTCTTGTTCCTCTGCAGGGCTGACAAACAGCAGAGGCTCTTGCCCAGTGTGTCTGTTAGACTCTGGTCTGGCTCAAGACTTCTTCCTTATAAAACCCAGGCCCACCAGCCCAGGTGTGATGAGCTAGGCCCTCCCTACACCAGTCATGGGTCACGGAAACGTCCTACAGGCTTGTCATTTGCTGGGGCATTTTAGCTTGTGTCAAATTAATAAGAAGCTAGTTAGCACAGCCCTGAAAACAAATGAACTAGTTACATTTGTTTATTTTATGACTCTGTGTCAGAGTAATGCATGCACATGTACATGTGGGGGGCTAATTCATGTGTATATGTGAGCATGTGCATATAGAGTGTTGGGGGCAATACATGTGCATATGTATTCATGCACGTGCATGAAGAGGACAGAGGCTGATGTCAGGTATCTTTTTTCACTTTCTCTTCACTTTTTTCACTTTCTCTTTCTGGCTTTGTTGGAGGAAGTGTGTCACTGTGGGGTGGGCTTTGAGGTGTTCTTTGCTCAAGCTACTTCCAGTGACACAGTCTACTTCCTGTTGCCTGTGGATCAAGGTCTAGGATTCTCAGCTCCTCCTCCAGCACCAAGTCTGCCTGCACACTGCCATGCTTTATGCCATGATGATAATGGACTGAACCTTTGAACTGTAAGCTAGCCCCAACTAAATGTTTTCCTTCATAAGAGTTGCTGTGGTCATGGTGTCTCTTCACAGCAATAGAAACCCTAACTAAGACAATTACTGTTTGTTTTTTATGGGTGTGTATGTGGGACAATGCATGCACATGTGTACATGTGTGAATACAGACATGTAGAGTGTTGGGGTAATGCATGCACATGTGCACACATGTGAGTATGTGCATGTGGAGGACAGAGGCTATGTCAGGTGAGCTCACCCAGTTGGTTAACCTGGCTGGTCAGCAAGCACTTCTTGCCTCAGCTTCCTCAGTGCTGGGATCAGTATAGGTGTGAGCTGCCAGGCCCAGACTCGCTTTAAACACAGCCCTGTGGCAAACACTCTACTGACTGAGCCATCTTTTCCATGATGCTACTGATTTTAAAAGAACAAAACTGAACTGTCAGACACTTTCTAAAAGCCTCTAGAAATCAAGCTACCCCAGAATACATGCTATCTACACCACAGATCTTGGAGATAATGGGTATATTCTGCATCAATATATTTAGGAGTACTGGTGCTTGGGATACAGCAGAGAAATAAAGATTTTTAAAGTGAAATGACTTACTCTGGCTCGCTCCAGGCTTTTTATCTGCTCATGGAATGCTGCCGGACTCTTCAAAGCTGTTAGGAAGAAAACAAATGGTTTCTATAGCATAAACAGGAGCTCACATCTTAGCTTGCCACTCTGCTAACCCCAACAGTGTGTATCTGTGCTGACATTTATTTACAGTTCCTTTATGAGACCCCTCCAAACATGAAGACTTCAATGCTGCCCGAATGAAATGACGTACATCACAAATAAAGCAAGTGGACACTTCAAACAGAGCTGCTGTCTCAGGACTGTGTAAGTACCAGGTCAGGCCATTCCAAGGCCCAGGGACCCCACAGGTTTTGTTCTTAGCGCCCAGATACGCTGCCAGACAAAGCTCATGTGGCTCTGGAACTCGAACATGGGGACACACAGCATGCATTTATTCAGAACTCACAACCATCTTGGTTCTGTGGTGAGGCACAGTTACGACTGCTGTTGGTCTCCCTAATAAACCTGCCAGGTGAGGATGAATCCCAGAATACGATGTGTGCAAGTCCCTGAGGTCATACAGCTAAATGTTGGTCCAGGTGTGATTTAAATCTAGCATTCTAAATTCAAAGGGTCATGTTCTTTGTACCACACCACAGTGCAACACACAAAAGATGATTCTTTAGTAAGTCATCAGTATTCTATTTCAGAATCTCAGCACAAGGAGAAACGGTATTTGCATTTCAGTCTGTCATCTTTGGAGACTCTTGATTTGTGTACATCCACCATTGTACCTAAGAACCATGGGCGTAGGTCAGTAAATGGGAGATAGGACTAGGCTTCCCTGGGCAGGTTGTCTTGAGCATAATCTTCTAGTTTAGTCCTTGAGACACTTCCGAGGCTCCCAGTAGCCTACCCCTGCCAGCCTGGCTGAGGACCAGCTCTACACACCAGCCAGGGCTGACCCAGAAGTAGTGCTGTAAGCATCATTACTGGTACTGTTGATGAGCTGGCTGGGGGAGGACTGTGGTGGTGGAGATGCTGAGCAGTTATCAGAGTGGCTCTGGGTGGCCACAGCTGGATTTAAGAGACTTAGATGACTGATAGCAGTCTATAAAAGTTTCACTGATGAAAAAAAAAATCTGCTAAAAAACAAACAAGCATTCCTTATCTTCATTAACTGATAAAGATTTCTGGGCTAGCAATGAGTTACAGGACTGGGAAACACATGTTTGTTCTGTAATTTCTAGTGTTTTAAAGTGGAATAAATTAACTCTTGGAAAAGTTAATTTCTAAACAAAGTCCATGGCATATGGAAAACAACCATTCTCTCCTCTAAAACTCCCAAACCTAGTGGTTAAAGGTAAAGAAAACAGTCTAGATAAATATTCTAAAATCAACTCTTATGAATCTCTTGAAAGAAACAAGTGTACTCAAGGCCAGAAAGCCCAAACTAACTGTAAATAGCATTCCATCAGTTACAAACCCGAGATGCGTGTAATTAGGTAGACCATAGCCCAGCACCATGGAGAATGACCTTAAATTCAGGTAGAATTCTGAAGGTCATGAGTTAAGGCTATCACATTACTCTTGTAGGTCTAACCTCAGATATACCAGCAGAATTATCAGTTCAACCACTTTAAAGTCCAAACAGACATTAAAGCTCACAGTAAGAACTCCATAGTGGGGGCTGGAGAGATGGCTCAATGGTTAAGAGCACTGGCTGCTCTTCGAGAGGACCTGAGTTCAATTCCCAGCAACCACATAGTGGCTTATAACCATGTATAATGGTATTTAATGCCCTCCTCTGTCATGCAGGCATACATACAAGCAGAGCACTCATACACATAAAATAAATAAATAAATCTTTAAAAAAAGAACTTCGCAGTGTCTTAAAGGCATTCTTCATTAGTGTAAAATTCAAGCCCATTTTTTAAGCTGCATCTGTTTTTAAGATGTACTAAGGGTTCTCCTGGCTGAGCCATGCTGACACCTGACTCTCCTGATGAGCATTCACGGAAAGTGCAAGGACTGAACAGAAGGAGGGAAGCCTTCCTCAGGAATGGCCATCCTGTCCCCACACACCACAGCAACAGTGACTTGGTCTTACGTGGCATGATGCCCTGGTCCACTAGCTGTTCTCTCGTCCTCCTCTGCTGCAGCCTCAGCTGGAGCACTGTGGAAAGGAAAGAGTTTGAGTTTATCAGCAGCTGTAACCTCAATTCCTGCAGCTCCAAAGGAGACACTGTTAACCTTTATTAAACACCCACTGCATTATCCAACAAGAAGGAAGTCAATTGGGAAGCTGAGTATGGTAGCCATGTCTTTAATCCCAGCTCTCAAGGGGCTGAAGCAAGAGGGCTACTGCAGGTCTGAGGCCAGTCAAGTTGCATACTGAGTTCCAGGACATCCTGAACTACATGGAGGGTGAGATCTTGTCTTAAGAAGGGAGGTGAGAGAAGACATTACTTGGTACTAAGTTGTAAAAAAAAATATTTTGTGATTCTGCTTGCTGGTGAATTCTGAATTTACTCAGCAATTCTTTTGTTTAGTTAATAATTTGAATTTATGATGAATGCTAGGCATTTCCTATTTAAATACTTCACACAATATTCAAGTGAACTGATAGTTGGCTTATACATTATGACTTGTTCAAAGGAAATCTCATTTGGAGCAACAATATGAGGTTCCCTGACATTTTTTCTATGTTAATAGTAACAATTTACTTTAAGAAAAGACTGGCTTGTTTGGAAGGACTTCTCCACCAGGAAAGAATTTAAAAGAAACAGCTTCAGTGATGCTTAAATACATATAAATTAGGCCAGAGAGAAACTTCTAAGTTATGAATTTAACAGGCTGCATAAACACACACTGAATCTCACCCTAAAAGTCCTGAAAAAGCTATACTCAACTGGTATCACTGTCTACTACAAAGTAAATTGTGAGAATTGGTAGAAACAAGGCCCACATTAGGAAATGTGGACATTTAGCTTGTCAAACAAAAATTAATTTACCCCCCCCCCATTTTCAAGGAGATTCTGTTTACAGCATCTCTAGAAATTCAATTTAGAAAACAAGTCTATTTAAAAAGAACACAGCAAGTAAAACAGAAGCCTTTTCCCTAGTTACTTTAACTTGTTTTGCTTTTATTTTCAAATTACAGTTAGGATGACTACGGGTCTGCATAAAAGTCACCAACATGATGAAACAAAATATGCCCGTTTCTTAATGGCAGGGAGAAGAGACTGAACAAAAGGTTAGAATGCATCATACTAGTGTCTCCCACCTGCAGGAGACCCTGCGTGCCTCAGAGACCACAGTCCTGACAGTGTTGACCCTATGAGGACTGCAGAGCAGAGTCCTGCCTCAGGTTGCCCAAAGAGCCCTGAACTGCTCAATGGCTCTTACGAACACCTATATAAGAGTCCTGAACACAGAAATGAGATACATTTGGTTTTGGGCCACAGTTTCACTGATACCACATTTAGAGCTGAAACGGTTGATATAAAACAGCCACAGAGAGTAAAAGCCAAGTAAAAGCAGCTTAAACAGCATGCATACTTCTGACACTAGCATTTTTCAGGAGTGTAGAGGCTAATGCTGGGTGGTACTTAAGGTGGTCACAGCAGGGAGAATCCCAAGGAAATCCCAAGAGGATAAAGGGTCAGGGTGTCACTCCAGCTCAGAGGGTCCATGTCAGGGAGAAGCCCCAGCAGCAAGCAGTGTCTTTCCCTTCTCCCCAGGGATCCTCAGAGAAAGATCACACAACAACAATGGCCCTTTTAAAAAAAACAACCCAAACACAATCTGTAGTTAGGAGACATGCTTTGAACACTACACTTTCTGCATATTTACATCAGGACATCAGCAGTTACTCCATCAGCAAGCCAAGAGGCAAAGCACGTTTGTGCTTCTCAGAGGCTCTTCTGATTGGACACTGGTTGCTTCAGGGACTACCCCCATCCCCCAAGCACAGGAGGGCAGTCCTGATTGCATTCATTCAAGATTGCAATCACTCATGTTAACACACACAGTATATCTGTGAAGCTAGCACACAGAACAGACACATGCCACTCTAATGCATTCCTTGGGACCGACATTTCTGACTGCAAATGCACAGGCTTTCCCTGTGTCTCTGTCCTCCAATCTGAAGATAGCAACTGGATGTCCAACAGTTCCAATCAAATACGACTCCCTAGATGTTCCCAATTTCAAATACTAGTCCCTAGCTGAGACTATTCATACTACAGCATCCTCCTCAGACTTGAGTATTTGCCTGACGGTTCCACAAAATGCAGGAAGGTACTTTATGATTGCTGCTTTACTATAAAGGACACAATTCAGAAACAGATCACTGGAAGAGATGCACAGGGAGAGGTCCTCTGCTGGGCTTCTATCCTTTCTCTGACTCCATCTGTGCCTTCCTGGAACTAAAGGTACCCAGAAGCCATCAGGGGCCCTAGCTACCTATCATCTAGCATACCCCAGATGTTCTTGTCACTGACAACACTGAGCAGTCTGTGTCAGGAACTGAGGACTAAGATCAAGGCTGACAGAAGATGCTTACTCACCCCCTCCTCCTGTCACCTAGGAAACCACGTTAGGAGCTGTGTGCCAAGAACTAGAGGCAGAGAGCAGATATACATTTCTCATACCACAGAGACAAGGCACCAATCACCAATTGTTAAAACAAAAACCACACCCAAGTCCTGTGTTTTTCACCCAGTTCCTATACGGCTAAAATAAGCAACCCCTTGGACAACCTAGGTCATTTGGCCTGAAGGGAACAAAATGACTTAACCGATGCTCTCAAAATTCCCCATGTAACTCCCCAAAGGCAAGCTATTCTAAGGCCTCTGTTTTATGGGATTGCTGGAGAGGCATCAGTAACTGCTAATGGGACACTACTTTGAAGCGAAGACATTAGAAAGGACATGACTGGAGAGGAGGTAGACTTAGAAGTAATGAGTTATATTATATCTGTTGGTTGCCTAGCTCTTCTATCCTGTCTATACCCAAAGGTGGACACTATGGGACACATATTATCTAACACAGACTCAGGTAGACAGGGGGTAAAGATCAGTTGTAGAGCTTGGTGAACACTGGGTGTGGAAGGTGGGGAACAGAGATGCCCCAGCACATTGCAAATCTTGGTGAATTTTAAAATTCAACTATGGCATTTGTTCATATTAAACACAATTAGTGAGGAACAATGTGGTAAAGGCTATTCTTAGAATGTACTAGTTATATAGTACCATATAGTGCAGACTAGTAATTTTAGAAAACAGCAAACTTCCTTTTAGTACTCTACTCACCAACTTAGTAGAAACCAATGAACACAGAGTACATGCCAGCGGACAGGTGCACCACCTGGGAGGCAGAGGTTGGGCAGGGTGTATTTACTAGTGCTTTTCAGGGATTGTGAAAGGAATCAGGGACCTTGAAAATAGAGGACATGACTCTTCTGACCACAGAGGTGTCCATGGCTATGGCCAAGACACCTGATCAGGAAAGGTTCCTATGGTGATATTTCATTTGTACTGAAACGTGATTTTATTTGTATGTTAATAAATAAAGTTGCCTGGGGGGTCAGAGCTAATAGCAAGCCATAGCAGAGGCCAGGTGGTGGTGGCGCACACCTTTAATCCCGATCACATGACAGACATATCCCTGTGTGTTCAAGGATACAGCCAGCATGGAGACACACGCCTTTAATCTCAATACCAACCACAGAAGACCTGGAGGTCTGTATAGACAGGTAGTGACAAGGAGGTCATATGGTTGGGTTTACAACCAATAAGAAGGCAGAAGAGAAAGTCAATAAAAAGATACACAGGAAGTAGGTCTCTTTCTGAGGGGAAGGACAACAGTGGCAGCGAAGGGTAAGAAAGGTTTTTTAGTATCAGCTCTCAGCTACTGCTCCGACCTCTTGGGCTTTTAACTCTGCATTTGGCTCTGTGTTTCTTATTTAATAGACTGTTACATCGACATTTGGTGCCCAATGTGGGACTGAGGTGGGCGGAGCACCAGCCAAAGTTGCTATTTTAGCCCTAGTAATGCTGCAGTTTAAAACAACAGATTCACAGTAAGACAGATTCAGATGGAATAAGACTTTAATGCTTTACAATGTGTGTAAAAATGTACGTAGGCTTGGAAGAGAGAGAAAAAGGAATATATACAGTTATATAAAGAAATAGTTTTTAAAAATAAAGTCTTTAAAGAGACAGTAAAGGTAGTATAAAAAATAAGCCACATAAAGATGGATATTACACAGAGAATCTGGATTGTGTTGTCTTTGGGATTTTTAACTGCAGAAAAAATTTGACTGTAAAAGCTGTTGAGTTAAATATGTATATTTTAAAGGTACCTTGACTTCAAAATTTAGATGTAAGGATATGTTGCTTTGGAAAGGAGACTCTGCTTTGTTTCCACAGAAAGCCAGAGGCTATGGATTTGTTCAAGATTAAGATACATCAGGTTTGACCAGCCAAGACCCCCTGAAAGGTCTCTGATGACACCATGGCCCAGATGATCCAACATTCAGAACCGTTTCAAGGCAACTGGCTCAGAGAATACATCCTCACGGACTATACCATAATCCTAAAATTTTCTTTGTGTCCCCATAAGATACAGCGTTCCCCACCCCCCAGCAGGAAGTAGTAAGAGAAGCTACGCCCAAATTCCCAAATATACCAAGCTGGCTTTGGAAATGGAATTGGCACATTCCTTGTCTAAACCCAAACATATTGCTAAAAAAAAAAAAAAAAAGGTCGAGAGAGGACTCTGGTGTGGGACAGAGAAAAACCAATATTTTTATTTAAAACAAGTTGATTATAAATACAATCCCTTTCTAAAGAAGAAAGGGGGATAGTATAGAAAATGATAGGATGAAAGGGTAGATTAATGAACTTTTAGAGAACAACTTGTTTAGAAATGTTTTATATTGCTATAGATTTTAGTTTATTAATACAAATTTAGAGCTGATTTTGTTATACTGTATATATATTTCTACTCTTGTTAGAGGTATTATGTTCAATGTAACCATTTAGATTGTAATGGATAATTAAGAAATACAGATTAATAATTAGTCTTCTATGATAGTCAAACTTGTAGCATGTTAGTTAAGTTTTCTAGGTATACATAGATATATTTCAGATAGATAGGTAATCTTCAAAC